GCTGTGAAAAGAGGCAATAATTTAAGAAAATCAGCAAAACCAAAAAAAAAAAAAAAAAAAAACAAAACAAAAAACCAAAAAAAACCAAACAAACAAAAAAAGTCAATTACTCTGACAGAAAAATATTTTCGATTTGGCTACAGGTGATTTGTTTTATTACAAATAAAAGAACGCCACATTCTGAGGATCAAACGCAGAGCTGGATCAGTTGTAACGGATAAATATTTCAATCACAAGCTCAGTTTTACAAAAAGCAACTCAAAGATTAAAATAGTCCATCAGTACGCACATTTTCAGGTCATTACCAAAAGGTTTCCTTGTAAATAAAAAAAGAAAACGAACTGTATTACTGACAATAAGATCAAGGAAACATGAAGAAAATGTGTTTTAGCTTATTGACAGAGTCTAGACATTCCTGAAGAATAAAGCTGCCTTTGTTGCAGTTTACATCAGGGTTAACACAATAAATTCCAGCCGTGCTGCTTTGTAGCCGATTGTGACCTCCATGACGGAGGGAGGGAGGAAATGATAAACACGTGAATAATTAACTGACATCATGAAGCCACTGTGAGCGGTGGGATGTTGCCCATTTTTAAACACGGAGACGAGACTCTGAGGAGAGAGAGGCTCCTTTTGAAACACTTCCATTGTTTTTGTGACTTTCATGCTGTATTTTGCAGCTTGGTGGGAGTCTTGTTTTCAAATTAGCTGCCAAGTTGCTCTACAGGATACGCGTTAACTATTTAGACATCTTTTCATTTCGGTTCGGCCTTGTTTATTAAACTGTCAGAGTGATGAGTTTTCACTTGACAAGTGACTTCTAAACAACCCTAATAAACAACTTAATTGGCTTTCTGTTGTTTTCTGCCTTCATTAGCTGGATATAAAGAACACTTTTCATCTTTGCTCTCTTCACGTTCTAACACTTCTTCCTCAGTCTGTTTGAAAATAGCGTTTTAATTTTTTAGAGACAAGAATCTACTTAGATTTTGCACACAGGTCATTTTTCTTTTTCTAAGGAGATGAAGCTCAAATGACTGCTTTTTCTGTGGGTGGGATCATATTATCATTTAAACGAATCGTTTTTAGTTTTAATAGTGACACAACAATAATAATGGACTACATCAGATTCGAAGGAAAAGTACCAAAGGCTGTACCAGACCTTCCAGCAGTATGACGCTGAAGAGAGAGAACGGGACGACAGAGAACGATAAGCTAATGTTAGCTTGTTGTTGCTTGGTATCTTGCTACAGTTGTTTAGTTAAACTCATGAAAAAACACTACAAACACTGCTAACAAACCACATATGTAATATAACCACCCTGGTCAGAGAACCAATCAGTGAGCAGCAGTTGTTGAAGTCAAATCAAGCCAAGCAGACTGGATAGAACCACGGGTGTCAAGGTTCCAGAAATCAGGGTGGAACTGGGCCATAAGGGCTAATGCATAACACTAATGCGTGTTGTGAGACCACCTCGACTGGTTCATGTGTGAACAACAGCTTAAAGAGGGTATATATCTTTGCCACCATACTGCAGAACAAAAGTGCAAAAAGAGCTATTAGATCAAGAATGAGTACAGATTCAAGATGCACCAATTTGCGTCTGTACCGTTTAAACTGGGTCGAAACAGGCGTTCACATGCAGGACTGACTGACCTCAACAGAAACCACACAATTCACGTACAAAGACGAGTCTGAAAGGTCACAACAATTTGCAGAGATGTGGCTGTCTGAGGAGAGCTGCACGCATCAGAGAGCTTCTGATTATGTTGTGTAGACCTTATCAGCCCGTTTTCACCCTTTGTAGGGATGAAATTGTAGCATTTAACATGTTAACTGAGATGGAAATACAACTTTACTTTTCTTTTCAGTAACTCTTTTGTTTTTTTTTATTTTTTTTTTTAATAAAGGCGGAGAGAAAAATTAACCTCAAATGACGGCAATCAGTCAATAATGAAATACATGTGACAGCTCTACTAGCTCCACAAGTGAGTGCACATGATTACTGAGTGGTATTAGTGTTTGAAGTGTTTGGTGTATTTGTGAAGTACCTCAGCCACCCTCTCCAGTAACGGCTCGAGCCAGTGGTCATTACATTCACAGTGAGAGTCCAGGAAGGTAAGAACTGGTGCTGTGGCGGCATCTGCACCACAGACCCTTGAACGCATCAATCCTGAGAGAGGGTACATAATTAACTTTTATTTAACACAGATCAGTTCACCCTGCATGTAATGAAACAACAATGAATGTGTGTGTGTGTGTGTGTGTTTTATATATATAAAAATATAAAGCACTTTCTTCGTAGTACCTTCTCTGCGGTCATTTCTAAGAACTCGTACTTTCTCTATTTTCCCCAGCAAGGCTCCATCCTCCGCTGAAACACACGAAGAAACACATTTTACCTTCATCTCCCCTCTGATGTTAAACAGGTTTGTTTGTTTAGTATGMTAACTTACGATTATCACTGTAGTCGTCAACCAGAATAATCTCTTTGACCAAGTGAGGAGGACTTTTCTTTAAGACACTGAACAAAAAAAAAAAGGAGTATTTTGGTAAAAATGAAATCCAAATAAAAAAAAGGATTTTTGGGAAACGACACCTACCTGATTACAGTCCGCAGCAGAGCAGATCGAGCTTCATTATGAAAGGTGATGACAACACTGGAGGCAGCCAGGTCTGATCTCCACTGTTTATGTTTGCAGCTACAGACATAAAAAAAAAAAACACTGTGAGATTGGTGACATAAAAACATGACGTATATGCTTACATGTGTGCAGATAAAACATACTGCTGAATGTACWAGCTGGAACCGCTTCAAAAAATATCCCTTTTTTTAATCCTTGCATACAATAAATTGGATTTTGTGCACAGACACACACACATATACAAAAAGGCTGCATGAATACACTCAAGACAGACAGAAAAATGCTTTGCTGGAGCTGTGACTGACAGGAGCTTGAGATTCAAAAGAGCAAAACTGCGAGAGACCGTGTGCTCGCTGAAACAAACAAATCCCAGCTCAGTTTTAAACTGGGTCGAGACACGACACGAGAAGAGATAAGAGAGGGCTTAACATGGAAAATACAGCTAAAGCATGTGGACATTATTTATAATYACTGATCAGCATTAACATTTAACTCTAACCTGTTCAAACTGACATTTATTACAAACTGTGGTGGCACGATTTACCAAGAAYGCAGAAACACRTTGGAATAAATGCACAGAAAGTCTGCGTGTATGGTCGTCAAATGATTTAATCTGAGCAACAACAGAGCAGAAGTCAATCAGMGAAGTMWGTCAAGTTGTGGCYGGCTCGTCAGCGCAGAGCAGCCGGTAATATAACATCCTGTGACATGCTTWCAACCAATCACAGTTCGACAACTGTGACCACCTAACCAATRACAGGGCTGTCAGCCCGGAAACACCTCATCAGAATAAAAGAGGTCATGCATTGCTGGAGTCTTGAAGTCTGGGCCGATAGATTAAAACAGCCGAAACTAGTTATCATAAGATATGAGTACTGGACAGCGTCAAGGTAAAACAGATATAAATAATTAGTCCATAACACAAATTATTGTAATAAATACAAATGCATTTTTGTAAAAAATAACACTGATGACATATTACAAAAGAAATTTCACACCTCAAAAATGAACAGTTGTTGAGATATTTACATGTAACAGGAAGTAATGCTAAGGGAGTGTCTGAATGTGAACAGAGTTTTGCTGCAGCGGCTAACAACACACACTGTGGAGAAGAATCTGGTGTTTCTTTAGATTATTTTGAGTCACTATCAGAGAGACGAAGAAGAATCAGAGTTCAAAACAATATTATTTCAATAAGCAAAGACCAGGGAGTTTCTTTTCTTAAAGCGTTTCACTTTGGCTGAGAACACAGGCCAGTTATGTGAGAAAATGGGTAAAATGTGTATTGTGCCAATTTCTTAAATATAAAGATGTTTTCTTTGACTTTTTCTATTTGAAGGATATGCATGTCAYGGGCACTTTAAAGGAATCCTGAAGATATCAGAGGTAGCTGCTGATCTTTTCAATCTTGCAAACAACGAGGTGCGACATWTAAATCACCTTTATTTTTGTTCTGAGCCGCCCACAGACGTTTAAATCAGACAATGAGATGCTTTGATGCTGCTGCTCATCAGCGTAAGGCCACTTTTGACTTATTTTGTTTGTCTCATTTGTCAGAGCAGAGTAACTGGCTTCCAAACTGYGTCTCCATCAATCTCGAAGCGAGGTCGTCATGAAAAAATAAATGAAAAAAAAGCCATTTCTTTTGTAGCTTTTGACAAACCTAAAAGTTCTTTTGATTCCATCTTCAAAGCCGTTCGATACTGGCCCAGATGAAAGAAGGAAGCTTTCCTATTCAGGAAACTCTTAACAATCTGCGGCCGAAGAGTGCTGTGCGAATGACACATCCGTGCCAGATCAATAGAGATGCGTCCTTGCACTTTAGAGGGCTAATGGCTCCAGCTGTCTGGTTAGGTCAATAGACCGGGGAGGTCGGACCACACGGCTTTAAAAATAAYCGTTAAATTCACCGCGTGCGTTTTGACAAATGCTGCTAAGATTTATGTCAAAACTCGAAATTTAATGACATACTTTAAAAACATGAGAATAACAGCAGCCTTTTTAATCTCTTAATCCGTTCACRGTGTGTGTCTGAAAATTTGAAGCACATTTCTATATTTATTGAGTAGGAAAAAAAGAGTAACTTTTATTATTGCTGCAGCTGAAACATTAACAGAATTTGCAAATTGTTCACTAATTTTTAATACATTTGTGGAAGTAATAATATTAAATATACCTTTTACAACCTTTAAGGTGTAAAATTCTCAGTTTCTGCATAGAAAAGAAAAAAAAGTCACACGTTCACAGTCGGGGTGCAGAAACCTTTAGAGAAATAGGTYGACACGGTTTAAAGTTTCCTTATAGGTTTAATTAGGACAGTTATGTTAACACTGCAACCATAAACCATGACTCAATCGTTCACAGAAACACAGAAAACCCCTTTACATAAATCCGACACACTCAGAACAAAGTTCAACTGATGCCCAATGCACCAGATTCAACCTCGTCTCATTTTCTTTAGGTAAAATTTAAACAACTGCTTAACATCCCAACTCACTGATGCAAAATTACCAAACAAGGAGGTTGTTTTTCAGAACAGAGATAATTTTAAGGCAGAATTCAAAGGCGAAAATGTTTCAGATACAGCAATACATTATATGTTAATATACTGTAGATATTGGATAAGGATATGGATGGATGGATGGATGGATGGATGGATGGATGGATGGATGGATGGATGGATGGATGGATGGATGGATACCGTAGATATTGCATAAGTTTTAAACCTGAGCCCTGTTTTAGCCCTCCTCAGAGTCTCACTGATACATGAAGACACAAAGTGTTTGGAGCTGATTCAAAACCAACAACGTAATCTTTTTACATTTCTGAGAAGATGAAAGATAAGACCAGCACAGATATAAATTTTTATCTTGTGGGAGGTGAGTTTTTACTGGAAGTGAACAATGTAAAAGTCTAGATGTTTATCTGACAAACAATGAATGAGTGTTATAGAGTTACTGAGTAGCTTACGGTTACATAAAAAGAAAAAAAACATGCACCTGTTAGAGTGGGATGATTAGTGACAGCAAAAAAGAAAAATGAAACAAAACAGAGAATTATTTTCTGAAAAATATCTGCAGCTTAAAGATATGTGATAATTGCTTCAAATTGTGATAAAAATTATTTTAGTGATAAACGGCATCAAAACACATTTCTTTATTAATAACCAGATACATTTGAAGCTAAAGAAGCAATAATATTATCTTCTTTTTTTAGATTATTATTACTTCCATCAAGTAGGCCTGTCACAATAACAAATTTTGCTGGGCAATAAATTATCTAATAAATTCTAGCAATAAATAATAAATAAATAAATAATATCATTTGGAGACCATTTAAAGATAAGGAGACACAAAGAAAACAAACAGGGAGGTAAATGAAAATTATCAACCTCTTTCTTTTAAATCAACCTCACTTTAAATTTATCGTGTGATTAATTCATTTCCTGACAGACCTATCACCAAGGAGTTTACGTTTTCAGTAGCGTTGGTTTGTCCATCGGTCTGTGTGCAATATTATTCAAATGGTTATGAACAGATTTTCATGAAATGTTCAGGACATGTTGGAATTCAACACAAACAACAACTGATTAAATTTTGATGGTTATCTGCCACAAACAGAAACTGAAATTTAAAACAGAATAGAGCCAGAAGTTGTTTTTTTTTTACTGATGATATCTTAATGTGATAGCCAATCAGCATCCAGCAGAACTTTAATCCACCAATCACAGCTCATCAGCTGCACGCTTCCATTTGCATAACCTAAGGTGTTCGTGGAGGTATGAACTCATTTCAATGATAAACTATAACTAAGTGTAAAAAAAAAATCATCATTTCACTTTAATGTTACGCATTTACCAAAAGTAGCTTACGCTGATATTTTTTCTTATTGTAAAAAGTGCCCAAACTCAATAAAAACTAGATGAATGTAAACTCCTGGGAGCTTCGTTTTCCTGCACTTTAAATTGAAATCTAATCAGGTAATAAGAAGGCCAAGAGGTAGACATGTCGAGCCAATATCCTGTCACATTTGTCTCTCCATCAATTTAACAACCAAAGCAATCTGCACCCAATGCAGGGCGGGGTGTTTTATAATTGGGAGAGAAAATGAAGGCACGTCTGCTCTGTAGGCACTTCCTGGTTTTATCTGACAGACCACAATGAATGGAAGTTCCCAGGAGATCTTATCCAGTCTGCTGCCAATTAGTCAACTCGACAGGCAACAAAGAACAGGATGAACACATGCAATCAGCTGTGGAACAGATATAATTAGGGGGAACAACACTGAGCTTTCACTTTTAATGACTCTCAGTATCTGTTCATAGAAAGGCTACGCACTGATCGTGTCTCGTGTCAGGAACGGCTCGGTCCATTCGGAGTTTGTCACTCTCCACCTGGTTGAACTTGTTTCTGGCGTATGGGTCCTGACCCGGTCGGACCACCGTAGCTCCGACGTACAGGTCCTGATCGAAATCCTGCCAGCGCACCTTCCCTGAACAAACACAAATKTTTTAAAAATGTAAGTAAAAGCACATAAAAGATGTGTTCATGTACTAGAGCTACTTCACATAATGACTGGAATCAAACATAAAACTAATGTATATGAATTTTTAAAACAATTAACCACAGAAGGTAAACAAAAAAACCAAGGTTTTCTCAGTACATATTTACTCAAAATGATTATCTGGTGAAAAAAAAGATAAATAAACCACAGGATGTTCTAAAAATAAAAAGCCACCACAGGAGACCRTCACAAAGGCTGAAATGTGTCTGTGTAATGAATGGGATAACACATCAGTGGGAATATAAAATGCAGGCAGCAGCCGGGCTGATGCAAGGATCCTTCAAGAGTGGCAGGAACGAAAGCTCGCTGCTTCAAGCTGCTGCCTGACGAGGCAACAACACGGCACTCAGAGAGGCTGACAGGAAATTTATGCTGCATAAATATGCTGAGCAAAATTCGGGAGACCGAGCAAGGCTCCTCTGGCAAAAATAGAAACCACATAAAGAACGCACGTTTTAAAACTGCAGCCAGTCGAAAAATTCAAAACACACAGGAGTTCATGTGTTGCTTTAACCTAAAACAGAAGCTTAGAAAAAAAAAAGTATCATCACAGTGTGCTCAGGTGAGACCACAGCGCACTGAACAGGCGAAGTTGTCATCTTTAGTTTCACAGCTTATCACAGAGAACTGAGACAGACACGCTAAGAAGAAGTCATTAACCGAGTGTAGCAGCTTGTTAATAACTTGTGTTAAGTGTGTGGTAATGTGAGATTTCAGTATCTATCAGCATAAAGAGCATGTGCACCGCTGAAAAAGAAACCGAGCCTTTGAAGACAGTGTGTGTATGTGTGTGTGTCTTCCCTTGCAGCGTGTGACGTGTCTGGCATGTTAATTAGCAGAAGCCTGCAACGTTGAAACACTCATCCAGCCGAGTGTAACGCCGCGATGTCCTCGCTGATACCTAAATAAACGGCAGCAACTAACCACTGTAGTGAAGTTAAAACGGCACAGTTTGTTCACTTTTATAAATGTTGGGATCCTCCAGCTGTGGGATGCAACACCTACTAATTTAAGAAAACATTTCTGTGACAGTTCTGCCAAACATGGATTTGTTGTTATTCTAAAGAAGACAGCCAAGATGCCACAAAAAAAAAAAAAAAAAAACTCGTAAGAAGATGCTACAGACCCCAATAAAAACATCATATTTTTATTTTATTTTTTTTTAAATGTGTGTGAATGCAGCCTATGGGTGGAATCGTTAGGCACAGCTAACCAAAAAGTCAGCTGTGCTATGTGCTAACTTACAAACTGCTTACTAAAAGATATAGTTTTACTAATGTTAAACATGTAAAAAAAATAATAAAATAAGCAAAAGCTAATGATAAGCAGCTAAACAAGTACAAGATTAACAGAAGTTAGTGCTAAACAGCTAAACAAGTAAAAATTACAAAAAGCTAACACCAACAGCAGATTGGTAACCGCTAAGACAACGGTCACTCAGTCTTCATCACACGTCTTCATCTCTCCATTTGAAGACTGGTGGGACTGACACAAACCTGATGTTAGTTTGTTAGTTAGCTGTTAGCAGACTTAAAGTTGACAAAACCTAATTTAGTGGAAGCTAGCTGGTCTGCTAACAGTTACCAAGGTTGTGAATGAAAAAATAGTTCTGTTATTAGCAGTTAGCTGAGTAACAGAGCCACTCCCACCACTTGGTGAAATAAATACATTAGCGTTAAAATTCCAACATTGCATTTTGCAGTCAGGTGTAGTTTGCATGTTTTCTCCGTGCACATGTGGGTTTTCTCCGAGTCCTCTGGTTTCCTCCCACAGACCAAAAGCATGCATGTTAGGTTTAATTGGTAACTTTGAATTGTCCCCTTAGTGTGTGTTAAAATGTGATGGTTGYCTTGTCTCTACTGTGATGGACATGTGGTCCAGCGTGTACCCCACCTCTCACTCTGACTGCTGGAAATAAGTACCAGTTCCCTGCGACACTGAGCGGAAAAGTGGAAAAGCACTTTCTATCTTAAACAGAACTTTCTGACACTTTTGCACAATCCTAAACAGCAGAAACGTCCTCTGCACTGGTTTGACAAGACTATAATTTGCTGGTTTTATGGCTGTAGGAACGGTTTTCACTTTCTCTTAACTCTCCTCTCTGAACTGTTTCTCCTCGCTGCCTGCTGGTTGTTGGATTATTTGCTGATTCTCTCCTCGATGCTGCCATGTTTCCAAATGAGCTCATCAGAAATGAGAGACTCTTGCTTGTTATTACACCAGATATCTTCCCTGAACTACAACCCCCACTGCCAACCAGCTCAGCTCAACAGACACTAAATGTGCAAAGGAATGAATTCCAAGTTTCACCTCAAATTTTTAAAAAAACAATCACTCAATATTTGATTTTATTTGTAACGTCAGTGGTTTAAATCACATGGGAAATGAAGAAAAGTCTGAGACCTCAGTTTTCACCGTCAGGTTTAAAAGTAGTTTTGAATGTGCACTCAGTGCAACGAAACATGATKTAGTGATGGGCAAAAGAAAAGCCAAACATTGAAGCCTTGTACTTCTGTCCTCATCTTCTCCATTGCAGAACCTGAGAAGATCCTACCTCACTGTATTTCTATCATTTTTGCTTTCTTTATTTATCCATGTTATCTTTTAGACTTCAAATAATAACAATAATAAATCTGTTTCTCTTTATTCTTGGTGCTTTCTCTCAGCTCATCTCTCCTCTTCGTGTTTACTGTGACAATCAGTGATTGCTGAARGTAAGCCCTCTCCTCATTCTGGTTTTCAAATGGGATTCTGTTTCTGTGGCTGGATCGAAAAGAAGAAGAAAAAAAAGCCGTAACTGGTTACTGTTGCAGGTCACAGGCTTGAAACAGAAAGAGCACCGACTGCTGCAGCCTGGAGTCGAGATGAGAATGAGAACTGAATGAGAAATCATGAATCAGCTCCAATTCTCCTCCTGCTCCCCCTCCTCGACCCTCTTCTTCTTTTAATGCTGTTAGATCAACACAGTGTTTGTTGAAGTGTGGGAGGCAATGAAGAAATGTTGGATCTGTCAGTGCTGTGAATTATGCTGGATACGTTCCTGGGTTTAATGCTTAAAGTGTTTCTCTGACAGCTGTTTGTAACGATTTGTCTTTACTCTCTGCTGCAGTTTAAACACRCCAGCAGATCTGATTTTTACTTTAATCTGACAATTATGCAGCTGTTTCACATTTACAAGAAATACCTTTGAATTTTAGAAAAAAAATTATTGTATCTCCTGTGTCATAGTCTGCATTGTCTTTCTTTTGTGTTTGTTTAGAAAAACATTATGTTTTTTTCCCCAGCTCTTGATGGGATCCTGTTCAAAGATCAAAGAGTGTTCGATCAGCTGGTCTCATCTCTCAGATACAAAGTGAACAATTATAGTATCTCCATAAAAAATGAGCACAATGAGAATTAAAAAACTAGAATTAAAAATCTATTTTTGGCATGAATGCTGGTGGAAACTGCTGCAGCTGTTTTAAATTAATTTCTATGAATGAATCAGTAGAAAATTCTTACACTAGTTATTCCAGTTGTACCATCGACGTAAACAAATAGATTATTTAAAAAAAAGGGCCCTCAATCTTAAATGCATTAGTAACCAAATTAATACAAGATTTGTTAAAGCCAAGAAATCTGTCAGATGCTGATGAAAACAACAAGAATTAGATTTAAAAAAATGAACCACAGTTGTAGCACAGTGCCTTTTTTATGTGCAAAAATACAAATAAAATGTTGACTATAAATACGTAATGCAATTTGAACCTATTATTATAGAATTGTTATGCTGTATAGTTTTAGAAGTGGCAATCGTGGCGACTGCATGATTGATTGAAGCATACAGTAAATAAAACAAAATGAGGAAAGTCTCACGAGGTGTTTCAGCTCAGGATGCTAAAATGATTCTTGGCAACAAACCAACCTCACTTTGCTCAAAGAGCTCATCTGTTTAAAGTAGARTCTTTTGTAGTTTGAACAAATCCGTTGAAATGATAAAAAAAGTGTATAAATCCTTACAAACCTGGAAATGAACCAGCTAAAAACTATCAAGAGATTTCCCTTAAGGTAACAGATTTGTTTAAAAATACAGTAAAAGGGGTGTAGAGATGATTTCATTAGACCGCTGCAGCCCAGTCTCCCTCTATAGTTCTGCCTGAACTCAATGCAACTATGAGACAACACCTACATCTGTGAATTAACTTGTTAATCAAGCTGAAGTGTGAATTATACGGTTTTCAGACTTTAACTAGAAATTACAATGTGAGGAAAAAAAATGGGTCATTTCATCCCCCTCAAAAAACTATTTTAATAATGACATAGTGGATGATAAGTAATCATAATTAACTGCATCGTTTTCTTATTTTGTCTTTGGTAGTGACACCATGGCTTCTAATGTGAAGCTAAACCAGCTATTTTTATTTTAAAATATGCTTAAAATGCAGATTTTAAGTGATTAGAATCAAAGCAAAGTTGAGGCAGATGGTTGATATCAAGAAATCAAAGCAGAAGAAGCTGAGAGGAGACTAGGGCTGCCACAAACGATCATTTTAATAATCGATTAATCACCGATTATTTATTCGATTAGTCGACTAATCRGATCATACGTTAATTGAATATAAAACATACAGCTTATTACGTCAGAATGCAGCTGCTATTGTATAACCATTGTTAGATTTTAGCTATATGCTCACTAAAAATAACTGCTGTGGAAGGTAAGTTCTGCTCTGCAGATATTGTACAGGTTTCTCTTTCATTTTCTTAAAATGATCCCACACTTTT